TCCGCCCCCTTTCTCCAGGTACTTTTTTTTTTTTTTTTAAACCAGGGATCAAACTCGGGTCCTTGAGCTTGCAAGGCAGGCGGTGGCACCACAGAGCTAAATCCCTGGCCTTTCCAGTACTATCTGTATGGTTCCAACACAGGACTAACTGGCCACCTGGGTGCTATGTTACAAGTCCTATGGGAGGGCTCAAATGAGGCCTTCAGGCAACAGCCTGAAGGAAAGGCATGTGTTCTAAGAACTGGATGAACAATGTCTTTCAAATGAAAATAAAACCTTGAAAAAAAAAGTCACGCTTCTTTCCTGGGGCCTCCTTAGCTACGGAAATGCAAGAGCAATGGAGCTGCTCAGGGTAGTGTTGTTATCATGGTTGCTTTTGAGCAGCAAATATCAAAAGATTTCCTTAATGGAACAGTCAGTTGAATACTGTCAGTCAACAATACTTTCCAAAGTGAGTGGTGTAACGGGAGAGGATGTATTAGAGCCATTTTATTTCAAGGTATTTATTTTTGTCTATTTTACTTACATGTATAAAAGTAGACTCACCTCTCAATAAAATAAACATTCAGTGTGAGTGTGTGAATCATTGTTTCCCCTTACAACTACAGGCATGGCATTCTTAAACTGGGTTGGAATACAAAGCTGGAGCTAGAGAAAAGCTTTTAAACGCCAAGGCTTTTGGTCTCAGAGAGTCTGCTTCTGCAGTCTTTCGTCAGGGAATAAACAAAATTTCATGGCCTGTATGCTAAGGTCCAGACAGCACGCTAGGCAGGGAGATACAGAGAAAGTAAGAATGACCACCCACACCCTATAAGTACAATGTCTAGTAGGTGTAGTGCACAGAGGAGCGGGCAGTGGTCCCTCTGACAAATGCTCACAAGGGATCACAGCATGCTGATCTTCAGAAACAGAAAGCTTCTAGGGTATGTAAGATTGAAAGGATAAATAGGAGTTACCAAGGCCAGATGCTGGGGGACACTCCAAGCAAAAGCCACAACATATTGGAAAGCTTGAAGGAGAAAACTTTTCCAAGATACAGGGAGCAAAGAAGGAAGGAGAGAAACAGGTATCAAGAAGGACAATACAGAGAGAAGAGACAATCAGACAGGAAGGCCTGCATAAAAGATCCTTTGAAAAGAAAATACAGGGGTTCTGGGAAGTTTCAGGTTTTATGAGAATGTTTCTTGTTAGAGCAATAGACACAGTTGTTGAAAGATTTTGATCAGAGCACGGAATGCTAACATTTGCATTTTAGAGCACTCTGGAAGCACCATGGGAGAAGGAGCAAGCAAGATGTGCAAAAAAGAGACAAGTTTAAAAAAAAAAAAAAAAGCCCTGCAGCAAACCGTGTGAAGGATGACAGTAGACAGACACATTGGGGAAGAGGAAAGCGCAGGGAGAAAAGTAGATGGATGTGAAGCTAGAGGCGGCCAGGTGACGGTGCACTGGAGAAAGTGGGGCAGACAGACTGAAGAATGGCTCAGGTTTGGCCTCAGGCAATCAAGGAGGATATAAAGGCCCTTTGTGAGACAGGCAATATGAACAGGGCCAGTGGGACGGGAAAGGTAAGTTCAAGACTGTGGCCCACCTCCCCAAACTCACCAATATGCTCCTTCCTCCTGATCCTTGCCTGCCATTCCAGTCTGTACCATGAACAAAATGAATTCTTGGCTTCTTCATTACTGCTTCTTGCTTTTAAAGGCCAGAGAAATTCCCTTTTACATCCTCAATGGCCCTACTACAAGGTGGTGGCTTCTAACATGGACTCTCAAAGCCCTGGTCCTGGCTCTTTTTCAACCCTACTAGTCCTCCGAGTAGCACTTTTAACCTTTACAGCTGACACTGGGTCACATTTCTTCTAAGATTTCTAACTCAGTGATTCCTAGACCACCAGCATCAGCCTTACCTGAGAACCTATTATAAATGCCAACTGTGGGGCTCTACTCAAATCCAGCTCTAGGAATAGAGCCTGAAAGCATGTCATAAGCCTTCAAGTTTATGAACCACCACTGTAACCTATGGAGCCTGACTCTAAGACCTTCCGAGTCCTCCACCTCCTCTCCATTTATCCTTAATTGCCAAGGTCCAATCCTTGCCCAATCCTTGGTTCTTCTCAAGCGATCTAGTCTGCTCCTGTGGACTCCAGAACTCTGTTTCCAACAGTGAACATGTCCACCTGCATTTCCCCCACAAATTTAAACCAAGTGATTCTCCCACTCCATCACCTAAGAATAGCACGTTTTAAAATTGTAAGACTTAAAAGTCTCCACGGAAACTTCACTCCACGGAGCGCAAACAGCCCAAAAGGCCTTTGCAGTGTTGGGCCCTAAAGCCCAATGAGGCTCCGTGAGCGCTATCGAGGAACGAGAAACCCAGGAAGGAACACACCAGGCTAGGTGGTAAAAGACCTTTATTAGTCTGGCCAGACGGCACTCTCAGAACCAAGTGGCTGGCTCAGAGAGGCGCCTAGCTCAGGGGCTGAGGTCCTCTTATAGGGAGTAAAAGAGGGGGTTAACATTTTTGGGCTCACAGACAGGGGACAAAGGTCTGCTGACTTGAGCTGGTGGTCAGCAGTCACATGCTCAACAGTCACATATTGATGAGTGACAGGTACCACCCATAGGATGTCTCAAAGGTCACCAAGACACTCCGGATGAGCAAACAGTTTGTCAATTAACTTGGGGCTCTATGTCTGGAGTCTCTAATTTACAGGTAGATTCAGATCTGGACTTCAAACAATACAAGAGTGATACACATTCTTAGGCCAGGGCTGGAACAAAGGTCGGGGCTGTGGTTACAATGGGAGGGGTTCAGGACACTGTCTCCTAGGCCCTTTGCCATTTAGCAAGGGCTTGTAATTTAGGTCCCACATTCCCCACTGATTTTTGGGCCTAAATCAAATCAATGATTTATTTATACCTAGTTCTAATTCTTGAGAAAGGAATACACTGTAAAAAGCAACAGGTTATCATAATACAAATTCCTAATGCCATTATACAAAGTATTAGCTGCTTTAACCAGGTAATGTCAGGCAACCAACTCGTTAGCCATTTAAACAAATCCCAGCCTATCTGTTCATTATGAACCTTTGTAACTAAGTCTTTGAGTGCTTTTATGTCTTGCTCCATAGCTGGCCCATTATTTGTCAGATTGAAGCAGCACATATTTTTAATTCTTTCACAACCTTGATGGTGGAATAACAGCAAATAGTCTATTGCTGCTCTATTGTCTAAGATTGCCTGTCTCTGCTCCTGGAGCTCTTGGTTAATTAGTGCCAGGGCTGCAGAGGTGGTGTTTAGTCCCTTGACTACCTTGCAAGCTAGTTTTCTAACTGCCTTTTCAGCATGAATTCCAAATGCAGGCTGACCTATTACAGAAATAATCATAGGAATAACTTCAGCATCTGTTAAAAATCCCACATCATCGTCGCACCCTGGTGAAGTATAGGGGGACCACTGTTTCATTCTGTTTGGAGTAAGGAGATCTCCCCTTTCGGGTAGCACAACTGTTAATCTACTGAGGCAACAGCGGGCTTCGGTCAAATTTGCTGGAATGTAGTTATAAGTTATTCCTTCACAAGTATAAAACCATCCCAGTGACAAGGTAATGTGACAATTGTTATAAGTGACCTTCTGCTCTTTGGGGCATTTCATTCTATTTGTCTAAGTTTTAAACACCGGGAAGTACAGTTTTCATATCTAGCACACTGGGTTTTGTTGGACATAACTAGTCTGGGAGTATATAGTGTGATAGCATTTTTTTGGTTTACAGCAGATTGCCTGTCCCCATTGAAAACTATCAGCATAACTAAGCTTCTTTTCTGGGATGTCTTTAAATATAGTATATGGCCTAATACCTTCTAGTGGGGCACATACTGGAATCAGGCAGTTTCCGAGTACATAATGGAAGTTCACATCAGCATTTAAACAAATTTCAGTCAAATTTAAGGATTCAGCTAACTGCACCCAAACATTTTTAGTATGGCCTAAGTTTCCTTTGGGCAAAGCTGTTATAGTCCCAGGGAAGATCACCCAGATGATGATGAGGCAGGTCCAGTCGATCGAAGTTTTACTTTCAGTTCTCCGGGCTTGCTGAGAACTTTCCATCTCTCGGGCGTCTCTGGGTTGTTGTTTGTCCTGGGCTTGAGGTGGTTTCGGTGGATCCACGTCGGGTGTCCAGTGACCTTCACAGCCAAGGGGGTAGACAGGATGACCGGGAAAGGCCCCTTCCATCGTGGTTCTAATGTCTTGGAATCGAACCTGTGAATATAAACCAATTCTCCTGGCTTATAGGGCAGCGGCTGTAGAGGTTTTTCAGATGGGAGGGTCAGAGACTCCCTGACTTGTTCTTGCAACTGAGACTGTATTTCATGCAAAGCTCTCAGAGACCTAAGCAGCCTCAGATGGGAAAATTTTTCTTTCAATTCTATATCTATATGGGGAACCAGTGGAGGAGTACGCCCATAGATGACTTGGAAGGGTGACATGTTCAGAGGAGGTTGGGGAGTACATCGTATGTGCAACAGAGCAAAAGGGAGAAGCTCGACCCAATTTAATTCAGTCTCCAGGCTTAATTTGGTTAAAATCTCCTTTAGTGTTCAGTTAGCCCTTTCTACCTGTCCTGAACTTTGAGGCCTATAAGCACAAAGTAATTTCCATTCAATTCCAATACTACGGCTAATCAGTTTAGACACTTTAGCCGTGAAGGCTGGGCCATTGTCGGACCCCAGGGCTAGGGGCAGGCCAAATCGAGGAACTATTTCAGTTAAGAGCTTTTTCACTGTTACCTCAGCTGTTTCCTTTTTAGTGGGGTAAGCTTCTATCCACCCTGAAAATGTATCTATAAATACTAGAAGATATTTATA